CTGGAGGCACAGCGTGGATGGAGAGCAGGCGGGGATGATGCGGCAGAGCCCACTCCAGCGCAGGCATCCGAGGCACCAGTGCGGGGCCAGACCCTGACAGCACCGCACGAGCCCAAGGCTGACAGATGAAGACAACACACAGCCCCTGCACACACCTGCACGCACCGCCCAACTTCCCTACGCCTTACCACTCAGCTCAGCCTTGCCCTCCCTAAGGGGAACAGTTTCCAAGTTCCAAGAGCGATGCACGTCTGCAGCACGCTCTGTTTCTGCACATACTTACATTCTGCCTTGTTCCAAAGGAGCCAAAATCCATTTTTTTCTTTGTTTTTTTGTTTGTTTGTTTGTTTGTTTTGGTCCGGTCGTGGGGCCTGAACTCTGGGCCTGGGCGCTGTCCCTCAGCTCTTCAGCTCAAGGCTAGCGCTCTACCACTTGAGCCACAGCGCCACTTCTGGCTTTTTTCTTTTTGCTTATGTGGTGCTGAGGAATCGAACCCAGGGCCTCATGCATGCAAGGCAAGCGCTCTACCACTGAGCCACCTTCCCAGCCCCCCAAAATCCATTTCTTAAACACACACAATACACCCACAATAACAAAACAAAGCTCGAAATCGGGTGAAGAGAAGACAAGGATTAAGATGACATGAGACCAGGGAAAGGGGGGCCACAGTGCTGCACGCAGTGTGTGAGGGCATCAGTTACGTGGGACGTCCCTCTAAAAACCAGGGTGCAGTGTGAGTTTCGCAAGGCCTGCTGCCGGCTCGTCCCTGGGGAGGGCAGGCTCCAGGGCAGCCACGTGCTCCCTCTCCAGTGCTCACTTCCTTCACTGCCTCGCGGGGCTGCCCGAAGCTCCTCTTAGCTGCCACCGCATCCAGCGGTAGCGGACAGCCAGTGCTTCCCTTACTTTCCGCTTTTGCTTTTTACATTTTCCTTCAAGAAATGTGTTCCTATGCCTGCCCCCCATCAACCCCTGTCTCCAAAAGAACGGAGTGACCCTCGATGTCCATCAGAAATTTCCCGGCTCCCTCTCCTTTGCCATCCCCGGTGCGTGCAGAAGCCACGTTCCTCCCTCCCAGCGGGACAGTTTCTTTGTGAGAACCAGGAATTGCTCATAAGCCTCTGAAAGCCGAGGGCTGCATTCCCAGGCTTCCCCAGTCCCCCGTGCCCATCCCCCACCCCCCACCCCTGCCCCCTGCTCCTCCCCCACCAGGCTGGCTGCCAGGCCTGCAACCCCGCCCTACAATGGCTGTGAACCGGGCCCTTGCAGGTTTCCTTAGCAACAGCTTCATTAAGGAACTGCATCCAAAAATGTAAAGAGGCTGCGCTTTGGTCCGAGCGGAGCAGCGCAGAGCAGCCTGCTAAGATCTGAACGTCTCTGAAGAGACATTAACCAGAGACAAAGAGGCTGCAAGACTTCAGTCAATGGAGTCACAAATCAAAATGTTCTTGGTAAGTGGCTTGGAATCGTTCCTCGACTTTCCCACATCTCTTAAGGGCAGGTTTTTGTCTAGCTTTCGGAACAATTCCTCACTCACTTTCTCTTCTGTCACTTGCCTTTTCTATTGAAGAAAAGAAAAAAAAAGCCTCAATCATCCCGCGGCTACCTGGTGGATTTTCAAATCATGGTTTGCCAGATTTAGACCCTGAGCCTGGCCCGCATCTCGGGCGCCAGGCAGCCAACAGTGGGGCCGCTGCGGGGGGCGCTAGCAGCCAGCCTCGGCTGAACGCTGCTGCAGCCAGCTTCTAAGCACCTAGCTGCAGCGCGAGGAGCTCTGCTCTCATCTTTTCATGGCTGCAGAACTTGTTTTCCTGGGATTGGTATCACTACAGCAGGCCCAACTAGAAAGTGACCCAGACCTTGGGGTCTGGGACCCAGTGGGAATTAAGAGCTCCGGTGTCTATCTGCTTCAAACCTATTTCTCCATTCAGAACTCAAGCCCGGTTTGTCTGTTGCTTACTGGCCGGTCAAGAGGAGGCAGGCAGCCCGCACAGCGCACTGTGGAGGACAGTGAAGGGCAGAAAACCCTCATGTCTGAATCCCAGTCTGGCTTCAGGCAAGAACTTCCTTCCTTTAGCCCAAGGTTCTGCTCTGCGGATAGGCACCGCTACTCCTGGAACACACAACTGTAAGGGCACGCAACCCCAGGATCAGCAGTCACCAACCAGCCTGAGCCGCTGCCTGCCCCACACAGGCCAGTGAGCGCTCAGTCTGTGCCGGGCAGGGTGTCCAGCTGTGGGCACGCATCACTGGGTTGCTCACAGGTAGAGGAGGAAAGGAACATTACTGTGCCTGCTTTACAGACTTGGAAGCGGAGTGAAATGTTACATAACTCCTCTGGGCCACACCGTACGATGGCGATTTAAGCCTAAATCTGGGGTGAAGCCCAGGCTCCTCCCGCCCCAGCTCTACTTCACCACCTGCCTGCAAAATAAACATGTCCGAGATGCAGATCTGTACACAGCTGGTAGAAAACAAAAAGCTTGCTGCTGTATGGTATGCTAGTTAGCTGTCACAAACCAGGCACCCTGACCACAAGTTCACCCGTGCCTCTAACACAGAAGACAGAGCCTGCACCCAACTCTGCAGAAAGCTTTTCCAATACCAAGGAGGCCAAAGGCACTACTTATCCGTTTTGATGCTCATGCCGGGGTTTGTTTTCTTGTTTTGTTTTGTGCCAATCCTGGGGCTTCAACTCAGAGCCTGGACATTGTCCCTGAGCTTTTTTGCTCAAAGCTGACGCTCTGCCGCTTGGGTCACAGCCCCATTTCTGGCCTTTTGGTGGTTATAAGGGGAGATAAAAGCCTCAGAGATTTTCCTGCCCAAGCAGGCTTTGAACCGTGATCCTCAGATCCCTGCCTCCTAAGTAGCTAGACTACAGCCGTGAGCCACTGGCCCCTGGTTTCATGCCTGGGTTTTACAAGCAGAGGAACCGGCAGTACTCATCTATCAGTTCCTTTCAAATTTTACATTTTCCCAAATCATTCCCCAGAAATCGATTCAAGTCATCAACTCTACAATGGAACACACTTGATCAAGAACCAAAAGCTTGTTCTATTTCAGAAAAACGACAGTCCCTTCCTTTTATTGTGATTATAAAATCCCACCAGAACTCATTACTTCTGCCTGCCCATCTGGCAGACAGACATCCAGATGAGTCAACAAAGCACCGAAGCACCATGCAGCAGAGAGGCAGGCAGCCACCTTGGCACCACGTCACCAGGCCTGGATGGCCCTTCTTGTGAGCCTTTGCTGCCCTCTAGTGCTCTAAAATGGCAAAGATGGAGCTGCTCCAAAGGCAGCACATGCCCACGCGTGGAGGAACACTATCTTCTAAGGGGGAAAAAAAATGTCTGCAGATGCCCACCTGTGGAAACGTCTCAGCAGGATCCCGTTTTGAGCATCAGCTTGCAAAGACAGGGGTAGTGGTTAAGGGACCTCAAGTCCTTGGCAACTGCTGAGAGAGCTGTGGCTGCTCTCCTCCCCAGAATCCCTCCTGCCAGCGCCTGCCACACAGGCCACAGTGATTCTGCCTCCGGCCTTTGAAGGTCGGCCTCAAGAGAGCGGCTTTGCTCTGTCACAGGCTGTCCCTCAAAGCCCTGCTCCTTCCAGTCCCGCCAGAAGGCAGCACGGAGCCAGCACCGGAGAGTCTCCTGACCACAGTGCACTTGTGTGCTGCTGTTTCACAGGTGGAAATACCTGAAGTTAGCATCAGTGAGTGACTGCTGTTCCCAGCAGGAAGGCCCCCTGGCTCCTACTCCTGCCTGTCTGGGGAGACTCAGCTCCCTTCATCTGCAAGCAGGGCCGGTGCCAACGTCTCACCAGCTGCCACTGAAGCACGGGCTCCTGACTTCCCTCACAAACACAACTGCTCCAGCCTCTGAAGGACGTCTGGCTCCCGAGCTCAGAGCCAGCACGGCATCTGCACCCTGTACACCTGGCACAGAGGCTCCTCAGCCCCCATGGCAGGCCCTTTCCCTCTGAGGGCAATCTCTCAGCACAGAGGGGTCTCAGGCCACACCCCAGATCTCATACAGCAAGGGCTGCTCCTCTCTGTGCACGCTCCTAACACAGCACCTACATGGCCACAGTCCTCAGGGGAGGCAACTCCGTTCGTGGGCCCTCAAATTTACTTAGTGACAGGACAGGCACACTGCTACTTCTAAGCTTCCTGTGGACCACCCATGGCCATCTGCCTGCAATGATTTTTTTTCTGTTTTGGTCATTTTGTAAGGTCTGTGAATAATGCTATTGATGTCCAATGTCCCTCGGCAGAAAAAAATGGTTCCTCACCCTGCTCCAGCAGTGCATGCCGGGGGCTCCCTGCCAAGACCCCAGTCAGCCCAGCGACACCCACCATCTGCATTGGAGGACTTCACATGATCAGTTTACAACTAGATGTGGTCACACTTCCATCCAGGGGCCTGCAAAGGTCAGCGATTGCTCGCACAGGGTAGAACCACACATGTACACACAACAAACAAACACACACACACACACACACATGCGCACACACGTACACACACAGCAGCTTTCAAGTGCTGGGAGGTGGCTTGGTGGCACAGCGCTTGCACAGTGTACATGAGACCCTGAGTCGCATCCACAGAATTATTCCAATTCAGATTGAACGAACGTCTGCAGGTCCTCCAAAGTACTTCTAGAAACGTCATGTTTTATAAACCCACACCCCAGACAGGGCTACCAATGGCAAGTTCTTCGCAAGTAACAAAATACAGGCAGGATCCATGAAGCATGGCCAGGAATGTGGAGTGGCAGGGACAAAGTTAGTTTTCCAATAAAAAAAAATGTTGACAGGACAGCAAATTCCAAAAGCAAAACACAATAAAATGAAGAAGTCAAATATAACAGCCGCTTGGCTCTCAAGCTACAACCCCGTCATTTTACCATGCCATACAGCAACTGCCATTGCAAAATCGGCTGTATTAGGAGTGACAGACTCCCCGCGAACGGTGCCACCTCCTCTGCGAGGCCACAGCGCCCACCTGCCGGAGGTTGATGTACACTGCGTTCTGCAGAAACTCCGAAGCTTCCATGCTGCGCTTCTGAATTGCCAGGACACGCACGGCCTTGACACAGGCCTCCAACTCGATGACTCCAGCGTTCTTATACTGTAGGGTACAAAGGAGGCACCTCCATCAACAAGGGAAAAGAAGTTGCTGATACCCCTCCCACCTCATGGGGCGCAGACATTTCTGAGAAAGTCTGTCCTCTATGAGTGACCCACCACCACCTGCCTGTTTACATTCATTAAAACAATACAATCACCACAGCTTGATACTGCATAAAATGTCACATTTCAGGGTCCATATCACGTAGTCAAAATAAGTCAGACTGAAGCGCTTCACATGTGGGAGCACGCACTGGAGCCGGCAGCAGAGGCGCCGTGCCCACGGCCAGTCCTCCCTCCTCCCTCCCTTCTCCCTCTATGCTACAATTTCCCCTCCGCTGCACGGCAAACTGCCCCCGCCAGCTGCAACTTTGCCATTCTCTGTTTTTTCACCGAAGTCTTTTATCCTTATTGTTTTCCCGACTCACCCCAGCTGGAGTGTTTTTCAATTGATGTAACTGGGGGGAAAGAAAGTCTTTAAACTAGACAGATGTTTACAGAAGTGAAGTCTGTGGGAACTAGCGCAAAGAGAATGCAGGCTGGGCAGGGCAACACACTAGTACCTTTTTCAGAGTGGCATCACACGTGTGGTCAATCACAGGCCCAGCCTGCGCGGCATGTCTGCTCATGAAAACATAGCTGGCCTGTTTGCCAAGCGCTAATCAGAACTGGCCATCAAAACACACAACACTGCTCATAATTACAGCCCTTGAAAGAAGTCTGCATTCTTTTCTCTTTTCCATACCCATCACATGCAAATAATCTGTGACATATTACATGCAATTAATCAAAGATGATCAGAACAGGGAACTGTTTATATTTGCCTAATACTAACAATGAAGCCAAATATCTACCCATTGTGTGTATCACTTAGCAACACAATAAAAACTGACATAGGGACTCGATTTCACTGAGATAAAAGAACTACTTCTCCTTCAAAACTCTTAAAATCATTTCTTTTTAAGAATTAATGATAGCCAGGCACCAGTGGCTCACACCCGTAATCCTAGCTACTCAGGAGGCTGAGAACTGAGGATCGAGGTTCAAAGCCAGCCCAGGCAGGAAAGTCTGTAAGACTCTTATCCCCAATAAACCACTAGAAAACCAGAAGTGGCGCTGTGGCTCAAGTGGTAGAGCACTGGCCTTGAGCTGAAGAGCTGAGGGACAGCGCCCAGGCCCAGAGTTCAAGCCTCACAACCAACAACAACAAAAAAAAAAAAAAAAGAATGTTAACTAAAGGAGTTTTCTACTTATTTTGTACATACAGTATTAAAGAGTTTTCAAATAGAATCATGAAAAAAATCATTCAAAAATGTATTATATACAACTACAGGGAGACAGGGAGAGCCCAGAATTAGCGGGGATGTGGAAAAGAATAGACAGTAACTGACCACTGACTCTCCAGTTCTGCACAAACACTAGCGTAAACATGAGGCCCAGGAAGCAGGTGATGGACCCCATACTCACTGCTGGGGCCTAAGTAACCACCTGCCAAGACCCCAGCTCAGAGCCAGGGAGTAACTGAGAGACCTCTAAAAGAAAACCTCTAAAATAAATGGTTCCCAACAAGTGAAGTTCCTTCCCTAAGGTCACAAAGCTAGTAAATGGTGCGGCAGGATTTGAACGCAGGGCTGCCTGGCCCCCAAACTTAAGATGGAAATACAGGTTGTCACCTCTTAGCTCAGATCTAGCCTCTCTGGCCTTGGCACCCCACCTATGTGGGACTGGGGAGCCAACTAAAACAATGAGGGGTACATGTCCCAGGACATCAGCAAGCCAGTACAGAAGGCCTGGGGAGCATGACTGGGGTCCAGGCTTCCTGCTGATGAGAAACCCAGGCTCTGCCAAAGCCACGGTGGACATGAGTGACAGCTTGGTCAAGACACCACAGCCAAAGCAGGCCAGGCCTGGCCCTAGCTTCCCAGAACCCAAACAGGCCAGGCCCTCTGGCCTCCCACACCCTGTGCCTTACTACCTGTGTACAGGATGACACAGGTCCCAGCTTCTTGTGCATGTGTGTGACGGTGCTTGTGACTTCTCTGAGTCTGCTTCTTTACACCACTAGAGGGGTGACCCTGATTCATGGGTGTACTCATAGACTGACATGCTGAACTGAAATCCTTCTGTACAACTACTTAAAGATGTTTTTAAATCTGCTACAAAAATATATATATTATTTCCCTACTAAGAAGTAAAGGATAAGTCAGGTGCTGGCGGCTCACACCTGTCAGCCTACCTACTCAGGAGGCTAAGATCTAAGGATCACAATTCAAAGTCAGACCAAGCAGGAAAATCTGTGAGACTCTTATCTCCAATTAACCACCAAAAAGCCTGAATCTGTGGCTCAAGTGTTAGAGCACTCGCCTTGAGGAAAAAAAAGCTCAGAGACAGCACCCAGGCCCTGAGTTCCAGACCCATGACTGGTACAAAAAATGGTGGGTGGGGGAGTAAAGGATGCAAGAAAATTTAACTATATAGTAAATATAAAAAAGAAAGACAGAAGGCTACATGCTGTTCAAGGTCCCCCCAACTCAAATGCACTGCTCCAAGCCAGACGCCAGTGGCTCACATCTATAGTTCTAGCTATGAGGGAGTCCAAGATCAGGAAGGTCACAGTTCCAGAACAGCCCAGGCTGACAAGAGATTCCCAAGAGATTCCAGCTCAGTGGAAGAAGCTGGGTGTGTTGGCACATGCACGTTATCTCAGCTATGGTAGGAAGCCTAAAATAAAGGTGGATCAGGTATGGAGCCACAGCAGGAAGCAAAATCCTATATCAAAGTTAACCAGTGCATGCAACGTGGTAAATGATACAGGACTCTAGACATTCACACACAGTGAGCCCAGAGGAGGATATTCGTAGGAGAGGATAACAAAGGCACAATGCCTATTTGCATCTGATCATATAAAATAATATTTATCAAAAATGAACTCCAGGAAATGGAAACAAGAGGTTTTCTCTTTGTTGCTGTTTTTGTTTTTTGTCTTGTTTGTTCGTTTATCTGAGGGTAAGTGGGGGACACAGAAATGGAGGGTCAAAGAGTGAACAAGAGGAGCACCGGTGGTTCACATTTGCAATCCTAGCTACTCAGGAGGCCAAAATCTGAGGATCGCAGTTCAAAGCCAGCCCCAGGCAGGAAAAGCTGTGAAACTCTCATCTCCAATTAACCACCAGAAAACCAAAAGTGGCGCTGTGGCTCAAGTGGTAGAGCACTCACCTTATAGCACTCACCTTGAGCTGAAGAGCTGAGGGACAGTGCCCAGGCCCAGAGTACAAGCCCCATGACTGACCAAAAAAAAAAAAACTAAAACAAAAAAAAAAAGAACAAATACAGCAGTGGTACTCACTAGACACTATGTTGAAAATGAACTATACAACTTGAGGGTGGGGACAGGAGGGAAGAACTGGGAGAGCGCAAGGGAAGGGGTGACACTGTCCAAAAAGAAGCGCACTCATTACCTGACTTTAACTGTAACCCCTTTGTATATCATCTTTATAATGACTTTTTTTTTTTTGGTCGGTCGTGGGGCTTGAACTCTGGGCCTGGACGCTGTTCCTCAGCTCTTCAGCTCAAGGCTAGCACTCTACCACTTGAGCCACAATGCCACTTCTGGCTTTTTTCATTTTACTTATGTGGTGCTGAGGAATCAAACCCAGGGCCTCAGGCATGCAAGGCAAGTGCTCTACCACTGAGCCACCTTCCCAGCCCCTATACTAACATTTTTTTAAAAGTTAACCAATGCAAAAAAGGATGGAAGTATGGATGAGTGGTAGAGCACCTTCTTAAGCAAGGATGAGATAAGTAAGCCCTAAGTTCAAACCCCAGGACTGCTAAAAAAAAAGAAACAAAACTAAAAAGCAATGCCCCAATAGCTCAGAAAATTGTCAATCCTCCATTCCTCTCTTCCAAGCAAGAGAATATCCTCTCCTCAAGCAAAAATCAGAAACCCAGGAAGAAATCATTCACAAAGCTAGCAAGAATCTGCCTAACAGGCTTTACCAAAAGAAAACAGTGGTGTGGTTCTCACTGATACAGCATGAGGTAATATCATGTAAGTGTGTGTGTGTGTGTGTGTGCGCGCGCGCACATACATATTTGTTTGTGAACCTGTGTATATACATATTTTTATTTCTGTGCATCTGTGTAGATGTGTATCTGCGTGTATAAATGTATCTGTGTATTTGTACATGTGCATCTGTGTGTGTGCATGTGTATGTGTGTGCACATTACACATGTTGTATATCACTGATACTTTCAATGATGCTGCAAGCTTCCAGGCAATCCTAATCTAGCGGCCAGGGTCACATGGGAAAGTAGAGGTGAAAGAAAAGAGGAAAGGAGAAAAAGCCAAATAAAGCAAAGGAATCAAAATGCAGGCAGAGAAAGGCAAGACATTAATTTTCCTTTCCAACCCGCATAAGTCCACATGAGAAGCGAGCTCTCCCCCAGATGCCCTGTGGAATACTAAACTCAGGGGAGGAGACAATAAGCAATGTTTTATTGAGCAGTACTAATGAGCCTGTCACTGTGCTAGACACTTATATACATAAAATCATTTACCCTGATTCAGCATTCTCCACAGCAGACCTTCTTTCCCCATTTTGAGAGAGGAGAAAAGCTGAAGCTCAGACACCAGAGCCCTGACTGCAGCCAGAAGGCCCTCAGGAGCAGGGCTCGGTCCACACCCAGCTGCCTGCTCCAGCACTGTGCCCTCCAGAAGTAGGCTGATCCAGAAACGGGGGGGCTGCCTCACCCCTGCTATGCATCTACCAGCCTGCCATGGGTTTAACCATGACCACAGGAGAGCACATCACTGCTTCTCTGTCACAGACAAGCCAACACACACAAATCCTGCCAGCTACTGCCATTTTCACACTTTTGGAAACCAATTTGTAAAAAAGACAAGAAAGGGCTCTAAAAAAAAGTGCTTAATACAATTTTGAAATGCAGTTATAAAATAAATATCAAAAAATCAATCTGACTTTCTATATAGTCGGAAAATATAATGGCAACAAATCTCATTCACAAATCAAACAATAACATATACACAGCCAACCACTGGTGGCTTGTACCTGCAATTCTGGCTACTCAGAAGGCTAAGATCTGAGGACTGTGGTTCACAGCCTACCTGGGCAGGAAAGTCTGTGAGAATCGTATCTCCAATAAACCACCAGAAAACCAGAAGTGGAAGGCTGGGAAGGTGACCCAGTGGTAGAGAGCTTGCCTCACATGCATGAGGCCCTGGCTCAATTCCTCAGCACCACATAAGCAGGAACAGCCAGAACTGATGCTGTAGAGCGCTAGCCTTGAGCTAGCCTGAGCTGAAGAGCGGAGGGACAGCACCCAGACCCAGAGCTCAAGCCCCGTGACTGACAAAAAATAGATAAATAAATAGGGCTGGAAAGGTGGCTCAGTGGTAGAGTGCTTGCCTTGCATGCTGAGGCCCTGGGTTCGATTCCTCAGCACCACATAAGCAAAAAGAAAAAAGCAGGAAGGGCGCTGTGGCTCAAGTGGTAGAGCGCTAGCCTTGAGCTGAAGAGCTGAGGGACAGCGGCCAGGCCCAGAGTTCAGGCCCCACGACTGACAATAAATAAATAAATAAATAAATATAGCTGAGCTATGGCTCAGTGGCAGAGGCTTGTCCTAGCATATGTAAGTGCTCACGTTTAATGTGGGTGTACATATACATATATACACATATATCTATATATGCAGCTAGGTGTGTGTGTGTGTGTATGTCTTTACATGCATATAGACAGGCATATATCTATTTATACATATATATATGTATGTATGCATACACATACACACACACACACACACACACACACACACCTGTGTACATCTGTAAGGCCAGTACTTCAGAGGCTGAAGCAGAAGGATTATGAGTTTGAAGCTATCCCAGGACACTGAGCAAGACCTTGTTTAAAAAAAAAAAAAAAAAGGAAAAGGAAAACAGCACCCTACCTGCATGTGTACAAGGAAGGCAAATAAAGATCACAAAAGGAGTAGCAAATGCTCAGCACCTCACTGCGGATCACATGAACTAAACAACGACAAATGACCTCTGCTTACCACACTGGCAGACACCGTGAGGCTAGGAGTTACAGGCTCTATCACTCTCACAGGGGAGCAAGGACTGTGCGTGCCTTTCTGGAAGGCAACACAAAAAGCTGTAATCTAAAACAATGCAGACCTGACTCGAGTCCAATCAAAACTAAATAATGATCAGTAACAGAAGATTGCCTGAATAAATAGTTCTGTATCTTTTCAGTCTTGATAGAAGGAATTTGGAGAGTAGGAGGAAATAACCAGGAAGAGACAGTAATGTCTTCCCCAGTGTTGAAAGGCCTAGGAAAATCTAACCAACAGGAATATTCACACAGAACACAGGAATGTATGCACAAAACACTCAGCAAAGCATTTTTAGCAAGAAACCCTCAACGCCAACCAACAAGAGGATGATTAAGTGAGCCGGGCCAGCTGTGAACTCCGGGAGCAGCGGCTCTGCCAGCTGAGAATTGGAGGAGCCCTTGCCTGCCAGCCGCGGGCAGAGCAACACAGCAATGACAGACATAAACATGTTTACCCGACCTCTCTCCTCCACAGTGCTGGGGAGGGTGAGCTGGTCTGAGGGAGGAGGACCATGATCTAGAACAGACTGCCACGTGGAAAAGGCAAGCTGCAGGGTGAGAGACAGACAAAGAAAACGTGTGTGCGTGTCTCAGAGGCGAGACGGACACAAAAGACATGCAGTGAAGGGCTGGTGATCGCAGGGGAGAGGGAGGAATCCCCACGGCTCTCTAGAGAGCACTGCTGTACACAGTTCGCATTTTCCCTCTCAGTGCTTCAGTAAGAGCATTCGAATTTTAAAAAAGAAAAAAAAATTAAGGTTGTGCTCTGATCTGCAGCAGAGCGCCTGCCTAGCATCGTGAAGCCCACGCTCAGTCCCCAGCACATCAAAATCAACAACGATTAAGCCCAAAGTGAAAAAGGACACTGCATGGAATGAACGGAAGGCCATCTAGATGGTTAAAAATTGTGCCATGGAATATTTAATCCAATAGAAGAACATGTGATGTGCCAAATGAAAACCACAGCACTCTCCACAGCAAGTCCAGCATCCTGACCTGTTTTTATGATACAAGTAACACACAAAAGGACCAGAAATAGATATCAAAATGTTAATAACAATTCCTCTGAGAAGTGGGGCTATGGTGCTGCTACCTGTCTTCTATTTCCTAAATTTATAATATTAAAAATACACTGTCTTGAGTCAGAAAAAAATACTAGGCACATAGCACCACGCATTAGAGAAGAACAGATGAATCCTACAGAGACTACTATTTACTCGATACTGCAGCACTTGCCCTGCACAAAGAGAACTTATGATGGAAATGACACCATTGTGCACGAAAAACACAAAGCACGGCAGCACCTTGCTATAATAGGAAATGGCTTCTTTGTACTTGTCGATTATGTCTTCTGGGCTGAGGCAGTTCTTGGCACGGCCGATCTCAGCACTGGTGTCAGGGTTTATGCCATTAGTCGTGAGGGCACCTGCAGACAGAGGGAAAAAAAAGAAATAATCTTTTGCTTTTTTTTTTTTTGGTCTTGGTCTTTTGTTGGTTTAAAGAGGAATGTGAATTAGACAAAACCTAAAGAAAGCACTGAATCAGCTTAAATAATGAAACAGTGTTTAAAATCTCCATAGATTATACATGTCCTGTAACAGTCGTAGCAGCAAAGCATTGTGTTTGGTGTTAATTAACCAAGAGGAAGTTTCGTTCCCTGTTGAAACTTCTCCTTAGAGAACATCGCATGCAACGCAGGAAGGCGGCGCAGCCGATGCCCGGCTCTGCTCTCAAGAGGGGGAGTCGGTGCGCATCGCCTCACGGGAGACAAACCAGACATCTTCTGAACTGAACACCTATAAATAAATACCAGCCCCCTCGCCATGGCTGACATCTTCCATTTCTGAACAACTCCCATCCATAAGCAGAGCCACTCAATTCCCTCACCAGCGGACCCACTTTGGGAACGAATTTTAAAGAAACTTCCAGTCTCAGAACATAACCCACACTACTCAGAGAATTCAAGGAGACAAAGAATAAGAATAAAAAAGATGAAATGTTCTTTGATTTCAGAGAACAATGGAAAACATTCCCCCAAGCCCAGGTATGAGGTGGGCTGGGCTACCTCAGCCGGGGTCACTTGTCACATGGCCGGCCAGAGGCCGGGGCCGCCACAGCCCACCTTCCCGGCGCACACACCGGGCAACGGCACATGGCCCGCCCGGCACACCGCCTGCCCGCCCGGCACACCGCCTGCCCGCCCGGCACACCGCCTGCCCACCCGGCAGGCCCGCACCCTTTCCCACCTGTTTCCAGCCATGTTCCACTGGCCTCACCTGTGCTCTAGTTACTGATTCTGTACGCTGCCCTGAAGGCTTTTCAGAAGCAGGCAGAAGGAAGGGGCAAGTAGAAAGATGGGTGGGCAACAGATGAGCACACAGAGCCTCAGCAGGAGGGGAACCAAGAAAATGCCACCTGCAGAACTGTCTCCTGGCAGAAAGTAGGACCACGGGGGACCACGGGGTGGGGGGAGAGGGGAGTGGAGGGGAGAGGACTGCAGGGCGGCCAGCGGCTTGAGACTGGGTGGGGGAGCAGGTGGCAGGGTGGGGGG